AGACAGTAAACAGGATCTCTTTTAGTTGTCACTTGTCACCTTTTGGTATACTCTTCATATAGCAATGCCCTCTTTTTGTCAATAAAAATATCTTTTCTATTCTTTCTTTTCCTTTTCTTTTCCTTTTTTTTAATTGAAAAGAGAGAAGACAAACAAGTCTTTTGTCAATAAATTTTCTAACTGATCATCAGGAAATGCAAAAGTTGATATTACTCAAACCTTTTCTTAATTGCAGGTTCTTCCTTGCCCTTTCTTATGCTCCCTATAGTTAATTGAAACCGGAGTATCTTTATCCTCCAAGCCCTCTTCTTTTCTTTCCGTTGATCTATATATAACAATGTTAGAATCTCCTTTTATCTCAGCTTCAGATACTCACATCCTTCAAACTAGGTTTTGGAGATTTTGGGAGGAAAGGAAGTGCAAATTATTTGTGCCGTACAACTTGGTTAGACGTAACATCATGCACCTGACCTAAAATGATGCAATGTTAGTAGATGATCGATTTATCCCACAATCTCATTCGTGGTTTCCCCAGCTTTACCTCTTTTTTTTCTTTTTGAGATGAGCAAAATGATATAGCAGTAAGGCACCAACTCGATGTTTATCCCGTAAATTTTTTGCTGAAAACGAATCAATCCCACTCTCATATTACCAAGAAACTCAGCAAAATAAAGATCTGGACAAGACGGTCATGAGTCCAAAAAGTCAATCAATACCAACTAAGCCTCACTTCCGAATTAGAAATCAACTATATAAATCCTCCCACCCCCCCCCCCCCCCCAAAATTCGATCTGTTCAGGCCCATTCATGCCAATGCTAAATAATTTGTAAAATCTAAACAAATCCTAAAGTTTTAAATATTACGATATCATTTACCCTTGTTCGGATAAGGAATGGTTTAATAAATAAACATAGTCGATTTAAAAGATCTAAAAATTAGAAAAATAATTAAATGACTATTTTGCCTAATGTCTAATTTTAAGGGGTAAAAAGGCGAACAATATTTCACCAAGGGACTTCGTACTTTTAATATAGCAATAGATTCATCCTTTATATATGTTGGGCCTTAGAAGTCAAAGCTCAACATTCACACCCAAATAACATTGTTGGTCTCTCCATCGTCTTATAGCACTTGGTTTTCACTTTGTTAGATATCTTCATATCACATAAAATACCTAAAGCATCCTGCATTACGATCATCCTAAATATAAACGTTCATCTATCATGTCACTCCCCAAATAAATAAGTCTTGAATTGTCTGCATTTAGGCACCACAATTCCATATAATATTCCTTTTCACCCATTCTTCCAGGGAGGGTTATAAACTTACAAATAATTTTTTTTTAATAAGGTAAATTGTATTAATCAAACGGGAGAGGAACTCCCGTATACAAGAAGTATACCAAAAAGTAGAGAATTTACATCAGAACATGATTCTCTACAAAAGACGCCCAATCTTCTATACAAATAGGGGCTATACGAGTGCGCACCAAAAAGCGATCAAAGATAAATGACTATTCTTAAGATGTGAAAAAGGAGACTCAATCCCCTCAAAAGCTCTCCTATTTCTCTCCCCCAAACTATCCACATGAGAGCTAACGGGGCGAACTTCCACGCCTTTTGCTTTCTTCTTCTACGGAAAAAAGCACACTTTCGTGGGCGCCTTAGGAATCCAGATCGAGGAGTACGGAAAAGAAACCTCCTCTCTCACCAACATACTCTGGTAAAAGGACTTTATGGTGAACAGACCATCGCCACGCAAACCCCATCTCCAAGAATCACAAGATGGTTGAGGTCTGTCTTGCCCATATAGCAGTGTCAATAAATCTTGGAGCTCTGCAATCTCCCAATCTTGCATGTTCCTTCTAAATGAGAGGTCCTATGATTCCAAAAGTTGATTCTCCTTCCATCTCCCACCCTGTGAGAGATGTTGCCACCGAAGGATTCCCAATTCTTCATGATGCTCCTCCACATGCCACACCCGAAAGGTGTTGTGATTGCCTTGGTCCTCCAACCCCCTCCGGTGGAATCGTACTTTTCTACTATGACCTCCCTCCATAGAGCATGCTCTTCTACCCCGAATCTCCACAGCCATTTCCCTAGCAAAGCTCTGTTGAATACCCTAAGATCTTTTACTCCAAGTCCAACCCACTTCTTTGGGGAAGTGACTGTCTACCAATTCACTAGATGATACTTTCTAGTTCCATCCGCTGCATCCCAAAGAAAATTCCTTTGAAGCCGCTCCAATTTTTCTGTGATGCTCACAGGAGCTTGCAACAGGGACAAGTAATAGGTGGGCATACTCGATAAAGTGATTTTAATGAGCACTTCCTTTCCGCCTTTTTACAAGTACCGTTTCTGCCAGCCTGCTAATCTTTTTTCAACACTTTCAATCACTGGATTCCAAACCGTAGTATCCTTATGCGAAGCGCCCAATGGGAGACCCAGGTAAGTAGTGGGAAGGGAGCCCACCTTACATCTGAGAACATAAGACAAAGAATCAATGTTAGCAACCTCACCCACAGGGAAAATCTCACACTTGCCGAGGTTGATTTTGAGACCTGATACTATCTGAAACCACTGCAGGACCTGCTTTAGATAGGTCAACTGATCCATATCGGCATCACAGAAAACCAGGGTGTCATCCGCAAAAAGCAAATGAGACTCTCTTCGGGCACTGGGCACCCCGATCGGAGCTGAGAATCCTCTCAAGAAGCCTCCGCCCGCCGCACGATCCATCATTTTACTCAAAGCATCCATCACTAGAATGAATAGCACGGGGGATAGGGGGTCTCCTTGCCTGAGACCCCTGGAGCTGCCAAAGAAACCACACGGGCTACCATTAACTAGGACAGAGAATCTGACTGAGGAAATGCAGAACTTGATCCATCCCCTCCATCTTGCCCCAAACCCCATCCGCATCATAATGAAATCCAGGAACTCTTAATTGACATGGTCGAAAGCCTTCTCAAGGTCCAACTTGCATAGTAAGCCGGGATCTCTATTTTTCCTTTTAGAGTCTACAAGTTCATTTGCCACCAAAGCGGCATCCAGGATCTACCTACCTTCCACAAACGCATTCTGGGAGGACGAAACAGACACGTCAAGAACCTTCTTGAGTCTATTGGAAAGCACTTTAGAAATAATCTTGTAAATGCTCCCCACGAGACTAATAGGCCTGTAGTCGCTGATACAAGATGCACCTTCTTTCTTAGGCACAATAGTAATAAAAGAACCATTGATACTTCTCTCGAAAACACCATTCACATGGAAGTATTCAATGGCTTCCATCAACTCCCCCTTGATGGTGTCCCAACAGAGCTGGAAGAAGGCCAAGGAGAAACCATCAAGGCCGGGGCCTTATCAACCACAACTCGACACAGCCTCGTGCACCTCCTCCTCCTCGAAAGCCCTTTCTAGCCACTCACTGTCTCCCTCCCCTATGTGGTTGAACTCTATTCCCCCCAAAGTCGGCCTCCAACTAACTTCCTCTTTGTATAAGTTCTCATAAAACCCCATTATCGCCCCTTTTACCTCCTCCTCTCCCTCAACCCTCACCCCAAAACTTGGATCATTTCTCGATTTGTGCGTGTCATTCTTGCGCAGGGGCCATGCTAATCTTCTCTGTATCGTTTCAATTTTATCGGATGTCCCCGAAGGGACTTACAAATAATGTCTCCCTTATAGTTATCTTAAGACCCTTGCGCTCTGGAGATCTTAACCAAACTTCCAATTTTTGGTTAACTCCCGTGTTTGTTTAAATAAATTCAAAACAAAGTACTCTCTCTGTCCTTGTGGTATATGATTTGGCACGGATTTATGAAAGAAAAAAAGACTTTTGAATCTTGTAGTCTAAAACAAGTTATATACATTTGTGTGGCTATAAATTATCTCATTATTACTACTCAAAAATTTAGTAGTAGCATCTCAGATTTAAACTCTTTCTCTATCAAGAATTGGGAGATTTCTCCTGAGTAGAGTTCTATGAATTTACCAAGAGGAAAGAAGTCGAACTCTATAACCAAATGATATATTCCCTCTCTTCCGAGCAACAACAATAACAACAACAATCCACTGAAATCCTACAAGTGGGGTCTGGGGAAGGCAGTGTGTACACAAACTTTACCCCTACCCCGGAGGAGTAGAGAGGTCATTTTCGATAGACCATCGGCTCAAGAAGATGAAAAGAGACAATAGATCAATAACAACAACTCCCTTTCTTCCGAGCAAAATTGTTAAATGTGAAAAATATTTCAAGAACTAAATCATAAATACTAGGAGGTAGAACACAATCACAAAATACACAGAAGCTCAACCAACCCGAGAGATAATAAGAAAACATCAAATTGACCAAATATTGTGGCCAATTCACTTATCCTCTTCTTAATTAAAGAAAAGCATCTAAATTTGATTCAATTTTTCAGTCAAAATGGGCCAAATGTAGAGGACAAAAGCAAAGCACCTCGATTATATTACTCATCTGTAATAAAATGAATAAAATCCAATAAAGCCTTGGCTAGCACTACCATGTCAAGGTGAAGCTAGTACAACTAGAAGATCTCCAAGTTCAACTCACATTTAAGTATTTATGCTTCCAACATCTTAGTGCTCTTCTTACTTGTGACTACATAAAGGCAGTTTCCACTCACTAGTTGTGAGTAAATATTTTTTATTTTTTATTTTTTGTAATAGTGGCGTCCGGCGCAACTTGGGAGCATCTGGAATATTCCCCCATAAATATTTAAATATATTCTCCTTGAAGAAAAGAAAGTAAATTGACTATAGCTCCACACTCTAAAACCAGTTTGACTTTTACACATAACCATAATCCATTAGTAATTACCTTTAAATACACTTTTAAAATCAATGCTTTTGAATTCTATACATTAATCCAAGCATCATGATTCTACGCCCTTCCAAAGATCAAAATATATCCACTAATATACATAACTCAATCAACTACACTCAATTTCAGTTTATAAGGAAAAAAAGCGAGTTACCTGAATTCATCCAAGGAGAACCGATCTCTGGATCTCCAAAAGGAGAACCACATGGCGTTTGCTAGCAATTTCAATAGCAACAAATCGTTGTCGCGATTTCACCACAGCTCATTCTCCGTGACTTCAATTCAGAAGTCACCGCGTCTTTTGATCATTGATTTTGTTGTTGAATTCAAATTCTTCCTCACTGTAACACAGAGGTATGTATAGGTATAGAGATCGCAAGAGAGGATTTAGGGTTTGACAGAAGGAGAGTTTGAGGAAATCCAGATACACGCAGAAGTGCGTGTTTGTGTGTGCGTGCGAGATCGGAGAAGATTGATTGCCCTCTCCGGTGAACGGGAATGAAGGAGAATATGCCGATTAGAGATAATTCCCAAAGTGGAGCTTTCAGCTTTCTGGCTTCTTTCGCTGTTGCCTGAATCCCGATGTGTATTTTCTTAATTAGTTTACTTCCCAATTAATTATTTAGTGTATTCAGTGTTAGGGTCGGGCAAGCAGAAAAAAATCTGTTAGGACACATTTATCCTTACTAGAGAAAAGATTCAAATTTACACTCTAAACTAAAAGTTGTTTAGATAGCCACGTAAAAATTAGATACGGGTGTAATTAGATGTAATCATATTTATTTGAACTAGTTTTAAGATACGTGTGTTGCGCGTGTATTATATTTCAATGAATATAAAATTTAAAAGTTTATATAAATAATCTATTAAAACTTGTGTTAGAGTTATAAAATTAAAATTAACCAAAGTGTAAATTTTTAAACATTGTTGATCCTAATTAGCTAACTTTCAAAGAAAGAAGGAAATCTTAGGACAAAAATACAACTATTCTATTTCTATGATCAATAAGAAATATCATATAAATTATTTCTAACATATTAGATAAGACGAAATTACTATTGCAAAAGGTATTATTCAATCGCTATTTGGATAATCTTCTCTTTCTTTGTTTTTGGAGTGAGATTTCTTTCTCCGTTCAAGCACATAACCATATGCATCTGAATATTTTTTTTTATGGAAGTAAGAGTGAAACTTTAATGGAATTGCTTGCCGTTAAAGGATTCTAAAAAGACTATATTAATCTATGAGCGAAAAAAATGGAACTTATGTTAAAAAAATCCCTATGCTTTGCACGAAATTAGTTACGCCCCTAAACAAATTATATTCTTAGTTACCCCCGAAGTTGGCTATTTGATAGTTGTTACTCCTGGACATTGACGTGGTAATGTGAAGAAAATTGGAAATTCAACTTTCAGATGTAATATTTTTCAATCATTAATATAATTGTTTATTTGTTAGAATATAATTATGTATTTCTTCTTGCTTCATCTTAATATACAATGCATACTTTATCTAACTTTGTATTTTAATTTATTTTTTTAAATACAATGGCTATTTGATCCAATTGTATATTTTATTTTTTGGGGGCTAAATTTGTAAAAACTTAGCTGGAGTTTCATCATAAATAAAAATAGTAGCTAATCTAATAAAGTACTAATTATGTATTAATTTTTGTTAAATGCAAATGACTATTTATTTTCATTATGTATTTTATTTTCGGGTCAAATCCATGAAAGAAAAATTGGCTAGAGCTTTATTATTTCTTGCTTAATTAAAAGTGTATAGCCAAAATAAGGGAGCTGCTATTGTTTTCAAAAATTCATAACATTTTTGAAATGCTTAAAGCCACATATTATGTTGGTTAAGTAACTATAACAATTATCATAGTATATTTTTCTATTCTTTGACAAGCACACCCATTCTTCCTTTTTTTTAACATAAATATATTTTTTCAAAACTTGGATAGCAATTCCTATTGTGTGGCGAAAGACTCCTAAAACTATATATTCAATCGACAAAGAACTAAAACACCACCCTCGACACAACAATTGCTCTCCTAGACAGCGGAATATTATCACCTTACCAATCATAACACAAAAGCAAAAATAGCTACACATACAGGTACTCAAATGCATATCAAATGGCACCCCCCAGCTGTGGGCACAATTAAGCTTAACACTGATGGAGCAGCCAAGGCAAACACTTATACCAATGGTATTGGGGGAATATTCCGTAATACAGAGGGACATTGTTTAATGGGGTTCATGGGTGCAACTACCACAGGCAATTCCACATGCATGGAATTAAAAGCCATACTACAAGGCTTACAACTAGCAAGGCAACATCAACTCACGCCACTGGAAGTAAATGTGGATTCTACTGAGGTAATAAAGATGCTCAATAATGATAATCTTCACTACTCATCCTCTTTAATGGAATGCAGGTACTTGCTTCAGCAGCTGGGTAATCCTACCGATTACCCACACATACCAGGGGAGCAA